GAAAAAAAAGAGGAAGGAAGGAAGAGAGAGAAAGCAACATTGATGTGAGAGAGAAACATCAATGGGCTGCCTCCCACACATACCCCAACAGGGATTGAACCTGCAACCCTTCATGTATGGGATGACGCTCCAACCAACCCAGCCACCAGGCCAGGGCGAGCCAACTCTTATTTAACATCCCTATTTAAGCCAAGGACACTTGCCCCTCTTTTTTTTTTTTTAATTCATTTTTGTTTAAAATATTACAGATGTCCCTTTTTCTCCCCAATGACCCATTCCACTCTGTCCCCTCCCCCTCCCCAGTCCTTCTGCCCTCCATTGTTCGTGTCCTTGGGTTGTGCATATATGCATATCAATTCTTTGGTTACTCTCTCCCCCTTCACCCACCCACCCTCCTCCATCCCTCTGACATTCGTCAATCTGATCTATGCTTCCATATCATTGAATCTATTCTGTTTATCAGTTTATTAAGTTCTTTAGATTCCACATATAAGCGAGATCATGTGATGTTTGTCTTTCTCTGCCTGGCTTATTTCACTTAGCATAATTTTCTCCAGGTCCATCCATACTGTCCCAAAGGGTACAAGATCCTTCTTCTTTACAGCTGCATAGTATTACATGGTAACTTGCCCCTCTTTAGAGATGCCCGTAGTTAATTTGCTCCAGACCTTGTTTACATACTTAGTATTTCCTACCGAGTAAGGTGACTGTGAGCCAAGGAAAAGAAGTTCACTGAACTTTCTTTTTCTTTTTCTTTTTTAATGTTTTTTATTGATTTTAGAGAGGAAGGGAGAACGGGAGAGAGAAACATTAATGTGAGAGGGAAACATAGATTGGCTGCCTCCTGCACGCCCCCTACTGGGGATCAAGCCCACAACCCAGTCATGTGCCCTGATGGGGAATCAAACCTGCAGCCTCTTGGTTCATGGGACAACGATGCTTAACCAACTGAGCCACACTAGCCAGGGCTCACTGACCTTTCTAATGAATCAAAGAGTTCAACCCATCCGTACTGAGTCTGAGGCCTGGGAATATGGGCTGTGTTAGAAACAGTATAGTTTTAGAAGAGGGAACACTGGATTTGAGTTAAAAGACTTGGGTTCAATTCAGATAAGTAGCTTTGTAATGTTTAACATGTTACTTAAATTTGGAACCAGACCTGTTTTCTAATCCATACAATAGGCTTAATCACACATATGATGAGAATAATTTTTATCTGCTTTCTGCCTTGGTTGTCACAAATAGTATAAAAATAAGTTGAGACTATGGTTTAAAAACTTTAAAGTGCTCTGAAATATATTTATCAACAACAATAGCTAACACTAATGGTGCTTAGTATGTATCAGGCATTGTTGTAAGTGCTTTACATGTCTTATATTCATTTAACCTTCCCAGTAACACTAATGAAAGGAAAACATACACACCATCCCATTTCCAGTAACAGAGCCAGGATCTGAACCTAAGCAATCTGGCTCCAAGTCTGTCCTCTTGTCCACTACACTGTATGCTGGCATGAGTCAGAAACTTGATCCCTGGATTTGGGTTGAGGAGAATCTGTATAAGAAATAAAAGATATTCATAAGGGTCTGTAGGTTTCCTCCAGGACCTTTTGTCTACAACAGACAAAACCCTTCAAGGACAAGGGAGCCTAATAGCCCCATTTGTTCAAGATACAGCTGAGACCTAAGGGATTTCGGAAGAGAGATAACTCTTAAATCAGTCACATGGGCACTCCTGTTATAGAAATAGTAGAAATAATATCTATCTCCAAAGCCCCCTGAAATCTCATAAAAATGTCATACCATGAAGTTCAAACTCCCAGAAAACCATCTGCTCTTCTTCCTAGGTGATGGGCGCTACTCCCTCTTGGGTCAGCCATTACAGTACAATCTGTCCATCTGCCCTCCTTTGCTCCATGGCCAGTCGACTTACACAGTGCACCAGGTAAGGGTGTCCATCATCAGCCTCAGGACCATCAGACACCCCTTTTCATCCAGGCTCCTATGTCTGGGCCATCCACCTCAACCAGCAGGGTGCACAAGGGAGATAACAGAGAGAATGGACAAAGTGGGAGAGGCCTTATCCCACTCCAGTACTCATTCTTCCCTACCCACTCCAGTACCAAGAGGGAGGGTCTCTTTGTTTCTCAGTGGCCACTTGCTGGCTAATCTGACTGCCGGGTGGGGTCCTCAGGTTGGGTGCTGCTCCTTAATCTCTCAGACATACATTGGGATGCAAAGCTCATACCCAGGATGAGCTTTATCTTTCTATGTTGAAGGGACAGAGTGGATTGAAGCATGGAAACCGGAGCAAGAGACAAGCACTCAAATCTGCCTCCACTGACCTGGGGACAACAGATGTTGGTGAGTGGACAGGAAACTTCCCCCTCTAGCCCTACATTATCAGCCCAGCATGGCTGGGAAAAGCCAGCTTAGAGTGGGGAGTAGAAATGGGAGCCTTTTGTACTAAGAGCAAGGAAAAGCTAGAGAAGTGAAGTATTTCCGTCCGACTTACCAAGCTATTCCAGGTCCTGGGGAAGATCATAGTAAAAATTGGGACTAACACAATGATGTGGGTTGCTGAGCCCATTAGTAACAGAGTCTTGTGGGAGTGGTCCTGACTTTAATCTAGAATGTCTACCTTGGTAGGCCTATACCCGATTTAGAAGATTGACGAGAATATGGGGGAGTAACTCTCCTCCTGCAGGCCTTCCATACTAGGCATACAAGATCTCTCAGGATTTCCCCTATTTGGAGCAGTTTACTAAACAGGGAAAGGAGGGGAAACTGACTTCCCTAGATGATAAAAAAGAGGAATCTATTTGGGCCAGTCTCTGGGAAGTGATCTATGGAACATATTCCAGATTAGGCTATTGACTTTGTGAAAGAACATCAGCAAAAGCCATACTTCCTTCACAGTAACAAGAACTGAGGTATGGGTCTCCAGATCTTCAATCTGTGATTCTGATTCCCAGTCTCTTCTTTCCTACCTCTCTGGGGCTAGAAGAGAAAGCTTCCTTCATTTCTGCTAGTTGCCTTGATCAGAGTCTGGATGGTAGGGAATTGGGTTGGTTGAGGAAGGAGGAAAGAGCTAAGTGGGAAAGGCCAGGTTTTTGAGTACGTTGTATACAGACTTGATCAACTGAATGCTGCAGTCCTTCCTATTCTAACCCTCTCATAATGTCTTCTTTCCTCCCTTTCCAGTCCTGGGGCGGGTGCTGGAGGTGACAGATCTCCCTGAGGGCATCACTCGTACCGAAGCAGACAAACTCTTCACTCAGCTTGCCATGTCCGGTGCCAAGATCCAGTGGCTCAAGGATGCTCAGGGGCTGCCTGGTGGGGGTGGGGGGGACAATAGTGGGACTGCTGAGAACGGTCGCCACGCAGACCTCGCTGCCTTGTACACCATCGTGGCTGTGTTCCCCAGCCCCCTGGCTGCCCAAAATGCCTCCCTTCGCCTCAACAACTCTGTGAGTCGCTTCAAACTTCGAGTGGCCAAAAAGAACTATGACCTGAGGATCCTGGAGCGAGCCAGCTCCCAATAAACAAGAGGGGAAGGGACTCGCACAGCAGGAGTGGGGGCAAGGTGAAGGGAGTTGGGGCATCCTGAGAGACCATGGACGGGAGAAAGGAAGGCGACAGGCACTAAACTGGAGCCTAAGACAGTAGGGATAAAGATAGAGACAGAGACAAACACACTGGCACTGGACTCCTTACTCCCCTGCCATGGGTCCCCTCTCCCTGGTTGGCCTCCCTCTGCTTCCCCCTCCTTCCCATCCTCTTCTATCATTTTTTATCTCTTCTCCTACCATGAAATGAATTTCTTTCATATTTTTTGGTCAGGTAGAATTGGGAGGGTCCTACACTCTCCTATTCTCCTGTTTCCTTAAATCCCAAGCTCCCTTTTTTGGTCTTTATGAATATATTTATATGGACAGAATTAAGAAAAATGAAATTGATTTCCCTTTCCTCTCACTTTCCCCATCTTGTCACCCCAAACCCCACAGAGTTAAAACTTGGACCTCCCCCCAACCCCCTGAACACTTGTATATTGTTTGTTTGAGGTTCGTGCCGCAGTAACAGACACAGTATTTAATTGCACATACAGATGTTTGCTAGGTATATTCACTGTAAATTTTATTTAATCTGATTTTGTTTGTTTGGGGGGTTATTTGGGGGGAGGTTGATTTTGTTTTTAAATATAAAAAAAATCTGTCACTGGACATCAGTCCCTGTTTCTTTTGCTGCCCTTGTGTGAGTAGGGATTGGAGGTCCTGGGTAGGTACAGCCCCACAGAGTTGGAGGGATTTGATGTGGGTTTGGATGACCTTTCTAGCATATGAACGGATATCTTTCTAACACGATTCCCTGTGTCCCATCCTCCTCACTCATAATTCTGAAAGGTGGCTGAGTCTCCACTGAGACCTTGGTTCTGGGCTCTCCCAAGTCTGCTACTAACTGGTTCATCAGACACATCACTTGTCAACTATGGTGCTCTGAGTCCTTATCAGGAAAATAAGAGACTTGACTGGCTAGGTGACCTCTGAGGTTCCTTCCACACTGTTAATTCTGTGACACTCACTTAGGGTCTTTGAGGCTGAGCTGCCGAGGGGTAAGTGAGGTCCAGAACTGGGTTGAATCCTGGATTCTTACCTGTCCATCCAATCTGCTGAAAACTTCAGGGATGGAAGACTTGGGCCTTTCTTTAATCCTAAAGCCAGAGGATTGGGTTCTTCCTAGCAGGAACAGAAGTGGATGTTTCTTACAATAAAAGCTACATCAGTTAAACTTGCATTACCAAGATGCCAGGGGCGTGCAGCTGAAGAAAGGTGAAGAATAGAAGTCACCCGCCTGCGAGATGGAGCTTTTCCTCTGAGGCTTCTCAAAGTTAGCCTGTTCAACCTGTCAGACCAGAGTCATTAAAGAGCCCACAGACCCAGAACCATCCAGCAGCCCCTTTTCAATCTCAACCACCCCTTAAAGAGAGAAAAATGAGTGGAAATGACAAAGAACATTGCCCTGGAAATCTCTTGGGTCTGGGTAGCAGTGTCTAGCTAGGCTCCTCCAAAGCTTTTCTGACCCAACCTCCAACATAATCCTTTACTTATAGATAAAAGGGGATAAAGCAACACTATATGGCCACCTCCAAATTGCTGTCCTCTGAGATGGGTGTATCTCCTTTTTCAGCTGTGACACACAGCAGGAAAAGGCTCTGTGCCCGAGATAAGAATACCAGATAACTCACTGACCCATCAATGCATACACGGGCACCAGAGGAGGGAGATGGAATCAGAATCAAAATGACTCTGGGAGTGTGAGACCTGGCATCCTACCACCTCCAAGAGTTTGCAGTTCTCATGGGGAATGGGGACATTACTTGCAGGTGATAAGAACTCCACGTGTGGCAGTTATTGCCTTCTTTCCATTGTTGAGACCATCTCTGTCTGGTCGTTAGACCCCAGAACCCTCCAGGCTGGCTTTTTTTTTTTTTTTTAATAGCTCTTAGAAGTCCCTTCACCTTGAGGACAAGATTTTAGAGGAATGGGGGAGGGGGCAAAGATGCCTATGGCAACAGCTGGAGAGACCAAAGCAGTACTACATGTTCTTCACTCCCTGACAGGATGGCAGGAAGGTACCCCTCCAACTTCCCACAGAGAAGAAAGCAACCTAGTCTGGCTGATAGAAGAGCTCTGAAAATTCAAATTTCCCTTTTCTCACCAGTTCCCAGCCCTTTCCTTTCTAAAGGTTTGAGTTTACATCAATACTTGATAGTATAAAAACACATGGCCACAAGAAGACAATGGCTGAGAAGGTGAAGGCTTAGTTCCTAAAGTAGGTCCAGGGAGGGTAGAATTAGGGAGATGTTTGGACCTTGGAGAAGGGATTGGAAAAGCTGTTCATAATTCATCTTTACCTTCAATCATTTAAAATCACCCAAATGAGTATACAGCATGAACACTGTCCCCTCCTGAATTTAGCCAGTACTGACCACACCACAGATGAGAAACTAGGTAACAGCAGCTCTGGGGGATGGGAGGAGTCAGGGTCTAGCCTTGCCCAGACCTCCCCGTTTCCAATTTCTCTGTGTCAGCTGTGCCGCTCAGCTGTCCACTTCCCTCCAGCACTGTCATTCCAGCTCTGACACCAAGGCAAGAGGCTAGGTCTACAAATACTGTCTGGTAGCCGGTGTGAGTTCAGAGGGCACTGGGGGGGGCTTAGCCCCCAAGGAAGAGGACCAGTCTTCCTCCAGTGCCACCATCAAGACTGCAGGGGCTCTTCTTCCCTCCACAGACGACTTACAGGGAGTCCCAAACGTGAGTTGCCTCTTCATCCTCTCCCCGTTTCCAGGACTGCTCACTCCAGCTTCCCCAACCCACAATCTATTCAGTTCATTTCTCCTTGTACATGAGTAGTTTGGGTTTTAGGAGTGAAATTATTATTCTACTCCAGGACAAAAAGCTAGAATTGGAGGGCGGGGTGGGGTGGGGTGGGGGTGGTGTCAAGGGAAGGGAGTAGTAAGGAAAGGAAAGGCTCATATTACTCTGAAAACTTAAAATAGCTGAGGCCTGAGGCAAGCTGGGACCTAGGCACTGGGCCCCCAGGGCTCAAGAAAGAAGTAAGGAGAACAAATGTCCCAGCCCATCCCTCCACACATCAAACCCCTTGATAAAAGGAGCTCTAGGAAGATGTGTGTCATCTCTACTGCCCATAGATTCCCAGAGGAAGCGAAGCACCTGTTGGGAAATCCCTAGACCAGGCAGCCTTGAGCACTGTGTTGGGGCTACAAATTAGGGGGTTGCCCCTCAGAGTGGAAGAATGGGTATTGGTTTGAGGAACTAATTGGGAAGTTCTTCAGCCTACTGTGCTTTCCTCTGGACCTCCATGGAATCTTTCTGTTCATAAGCTCTGTGAAAGGATCTCTAACTGAATTTCTTCCAAAGCCTCTCCTTCAAGGACCACCATACTATAAAGGGACAGGAATAAGAGAGAAAGAATGTCAGGGATTAGATGTCATAGTGGGGTCTAACCTCTTGCAGGATGACAGAAAAGAAGGTGCTGGAATCCCCTAAGCCCTCCCCAGCAGAAACTCGGCAAAGTGGGGTGAGTCAGGGCCTCTGACCACTGGGTGTGGGGGAGCTGGAAAGCCATTGCAGCCCTCAAAGAAAAGTGCTTGAATTGATCTTACTTGTATGTGACTACTTTGTTAGAATGCCTGCCCGCATCTGCAGTCCCCAATACCCCCTAAACCTGGGGTGTACCCCTTGCCCCAGGCTAGAAAAATGTCTAGTGAGCTTCAGCCTTACCTACTCTGTAGAGCATGACAATTCTTTTAACACTGGGTTTCCTTCATTCCCCCCTCACCCTGCACCCCACCCCAGCTACAGCGGCTGAAGCAGTTATTCAGGAAGGAGTCTACTGGAACAAAGGAGATGGAGCTTCCCCCAGAGCCCCAGGCCAATGGGGAGGCAGTGGGAGCTGGGGGTGGGCCTATCTACTACATCTATGAGGAAGAGGAGGAAGAAGAGGAGGAGGAGGAGGAGCCACCCCCAGAACCTCCTAAGCTTGTCAATGATAAGCCCCACAAATTCAAAGATCATTTCTTCAAGAAGCCCAAGTTCTGTGATGTCTGTGCCCGGATGATTGTGCGTGAGTCATGAAGGGAAGTAGAGAACTTGTGATGTTGAAGGCAAGGGACTGGGAAAGGGTTTAGGAGAGGAGTATTTGTATAGCAAACAGGCTGTGGCAAGATTTGGCTTGAAGGAAATACTATTTGACTGAGAGTGTTGGGTCCCAGACAGAAAGGAACCTAAGAGCTAGAGTAGCAGCAATGGTACAAAGGGAAAGGAAAACAGAAACCTCACCCAAATGTTCTCCCCTTCTCCCAAGTCAACAACAAATTTGGGCTTCGCTGTAAGAACTGCAAAACCAACATCCATGAACACTGTCAGTCCTATGTGGAGATGCAGAGATGCTTCGGCAAGATTGTGAGTAGGCTTTGGGGAGCAAGAAAATAGAAGAGGGGGACATGTTGCCAGCTACCCCCTTGCCAGTCCCTCCTCAGGTCATCCCCTCCATTTCCCTGCTTTTTCTTTCTCAGCCAATCTCTTACTTCAAGAAGGGGTGAGCACTCGTGGAAAAGATGGGGTTCTGGATCCTACCTTGCTCTCTCTAATGCTTTCCATCCTACCCTACAGCCCCCTGGTTTCCATCGGGCCTACAGCTCCCCACTCTACAGCAACCAGCAGTACGCTAGTGTCTGTAAGTGACTCACATGGAACCTGAGGGAGTGGGCAAGCTTAGAGATAGTTTCAACATACCTCTAGATTTATAAACCAAATTCTGAAACAGAAAGATTCTATATCCCATGGTTCTCTCTCAACCTAATAGCTCAACCACCTTGGATACAGAGTCAATATTCCCCTATTTGATAGCTGAGGGAGATGAGATTTAGCTAGGTCTCCCCACAGCTAGCAAGAGACAGAGCCAAGACTGAAACTTCATCTGTCTAACCTCAAAATCTGTGCTTTGCATATGCAAAACCATTTCTAAGTGAACAAGGATTCTAGACTCTCCTCATCCTAGTTACAGAAGACCAAGAGCTATGGACATCCTGGGAAGATTCATAGTTTATCAACCCTTAAAATTTATTTTGAAGTGAAGCTAAAGTATGTGAGGAGCATGGGTGTAAAAAGAAGAACCCACTGGTGCAAGCACACCAGCTTGCACGTGCCACTCGGACAAAAAAGCCAGCAGTTAAAGGACAACTCTCCTTAGAAGGAGAGTAGTGATTCTGAGCATTCCCCAACTCCCAAGCAACTTAGTAAAGCTGTCTTTCCAGCATCATATAATGCTCTGCCTGGAAGGAGTGCTGATAAATATTTTTCTCCATCATATTACATTTCCAGTGATGTTTTTAGAGCTCTTTATAGATTGATAACCTAGGTATGCCCAGCTGACAACGTCCCTAATCTTATACACACACACACACACACACACACACACAGGTATCTATCTACTCAATCCCACCTCTCCCTTACTTAGGAGGACTCTTTCCTCCAAGCCTTTCCCTGCCTCCTCAGTAATGTCTTCTTTCTTCTCCCATTCCCACTAGCTGCTGCAAATCGTAATGACCCTGTGTTTGAAACCCTGCGCACTGGGGTGATCATGGCAAACAAGGAACGGAAGAAAGGACAGGCAGATAAGAAAAATGTGAGCACCATACCTTCCTACTGAGGTTGCTTCCAGAGACCCCATGTCTCCTCTCCAGAAAGCTGAAAGAAGCTAGGGATCCCTTTCCCCCAAAATTGCACATAACCCAACAGACAAATTTTTGTATGCAATTTTAGAGGGCTTCAGGTTAAGAACTCCTGCCATAGCATGTGTTTTCTCCAGGAACTCCCTTCTGAGATTGTCAGATTAACCACCATAACCAACTAACTGAAGGTTAGGCCCCAGACCCTGGCATTGCTAGATAAGAGAGGCAAGAGCTATGCTTTTGAGTTCAGGGAACAGAACGTGCCAAGTAATTCTAGAGTCATATAAGCGTCGATGAAGATCATCTGGTCTAACACATTTATCCTATAGATTAGGTAACTGAGGCACAAAGCTAGTGGCCAAGAGTAACTTCATTTCCTTTTGTAATAGGATTACTAGATTCATAATGCCATAGATTTGCTTTCAGTTCAGCAAGGGATTTGTTAGCATATAGTTATATCTTTCTGGACAACCAGGAAGAATTAATGTAGATAACAATTACAGTTAGATGGATTCCTAAAATTGACTAAATGACAGTATTCAAAGGATCCTGGTCCTTTAGGGAATATCCAGCTAGAGGGAGATTTCTGATGCCTCATAACATGATTTGGTTCTTGGTCCTCACCTATGAACACTTTTCTCACTGGTACAAATGAAGATATAAATGGTATACCCATCAAGTTTGTGAGAAACCTAGAAGGAAAAACTTATACATTGAATAATATATTCAGAAATCCTAGACTAGAAAAAGGCCCAGAACTAATTTGAAATTTTGTAAGGAAAGATGTACATGTCTGTTCGTGGATCAAAGAAACAAATCAACTGCACAAAAACCGAACTAGAAATCTAGCTTCAAAGTTGTTGATATGGAAGTTGGGTGCAAATTAGAGATTTCTGTGGAGTGAGCTATGACTGTAAGGCACTAACAATGTGATTTGGCTGCTTCCAGAAAGGCTAGTACATTCGGGTTCTATTTTCTTAAGGGAATTATAAAAACTGTGCTGCCCATTTTTCTCTTACACACTGAAGTATTTTTAAGGGCAGACATTATAGTAAAGAACATAGAATTGGGATCTTGGGGAATGATTCGAAGGAACTGAGAATAATTAGAGAAGAAAAGACAGGAAGGACATGTCAGCTGCCCTCAGATCTTTAAAGGGACTATATTTGTTCTGTATTCCTCCAGAAGGCAAATCAGGACCAATAACTAATAGTTACAGGGAGACTGACATATGCTTAATATAGCATATATTAAGCTTTATTAAGGAAATGTCCTATAAATAAATTGCATGGGCTTATTTGCAAGGTAGTGAGCACCCTGTCATTAACTACATTCAAGCATAATGTGGGTGGCCCACCTGCCAAGATGTTTTAGAGAAAGTGTCTGCATTAGACAGAGATATTTTCTCCAAGGCTCCTTCCAACCCTGATATCCTATTATTCTATAGTTCTCTGTCCTGATTGGAGAGCCAGGGCAAGCATGGGTTCCCAAGACAGCATCTTCCTAACTCTAGTGTCTCCTCCAGCCTCTAGCAGCCATGATGGAAGAAGAGCCAGAGTCTGTCAGACCAGAGGAAGGCAAACCCCAAAATGGTGAGTGACACCCACCTCCATCCATAGAGATAGAGGAGGGTCAGGGGCTTAGAAGTGGCACAGGGAAAGGAGGGTAAAAGGGTATGCCAGGTTTGAAGGTAAAGAAGGCCCTGCAACAGAAGGGTAAGCAAATGAGGCCTACCCTCCAGGAGCCAGAGACAGTTTGTTGGTGTTTCCATCCCAGGAAACCCTGAAGGGGATAAGAAGGCTGAAAAGAAGACACCTGATGACAAAGTGAGATTCCTTTCTCCCTGCAGGGACCCCAGTCCTCTCCCCAACCCAGTTCTGATACCACTCACAACCTCAGCAAAAGCTCATACTTACTCTTTGGGTTCCCATTACCCTTAACCTGCCTTCTCCACCACCTTACACACACACAACCAGTGCACTCCTTTTAGTTCAGGGACCTGGGAGAGAGCTGGAATGTAGTATGTCTGGAGAATGCCCCTGCCTTGGACTCCTGCCCCTCAATGTGGGACAGAGGAGCCCTGAGACTCATCACCCCCTTTCACCCCCAGCACAAGCAGCCTGGCTTCCAGCAGTCTCATTACTTTGTGGCTCTCTATCGGTTCAAAGCCCTGGAGAAGGACGACTTGGATTTCCCGTGAGAGGCCTTAAGATTGGGGTGGGGGTGTACTGGGTGTGGAGAGGGGAGAGCCCAGCTCCCTGTGAGAAAGGAAAGTGGGGAAGAGTGTACACAGGGCTTGGAGCCTATTGGGGCTGGATCTGGGTACAAACAAAGAACTGCACATGTAAGGCCCCTAAATCTCAGAGGTTCCTTCCTTTCCCTGCCAGGCCTGGAGAGAAGATCACAGTCATTGATGACTCCAATGAGGAGTGGTGGCGGGTAAGAGAAATCATGGAGGCTAGGGAGGGACATGGGTTGAGTTTGAAAGACTGATTCTCCATTGGCTCAGTGGTTGAACTTCGACCTAGGATCCAGGCGATTAGGGGTTCGACTCCCAGTCAGGGCACATACCCTGGTTGCGGGATAGATCCCCATCTGGGGGCGTGCAGGAGGCAGCCGATCAATGACTCTCATCATTGATGTTTCTATCTCTCTCTCCTTTCCTCTCTGAAATCAATAAAGATATATTTTTTTTAAAAAAGACTGATTTTCCCTACCATCTCCTCTAGGGGAAAATAGGGGACAAGGTCGGATTTTTCCCTCCAAACTTCATCATTCGTGTCCGGTCTGGAGAACGTGTGCACCGGGTAACAAGATCCTTCGTGGGGAATCGTGAGATAGGACAGATCACTCTCAAGAAGGACCAGGTAAATAAAAAACAAACACACACACACACAGAAAACACCAAAAAAAACCCAGGTAGCTCTGGTGCCCCAACCCAACGCCAGGCAGGAGGCTCCTCTGCAAACCACACTCCTTGCAGATCTTAACCCATTAATGGGATTAGGCTGGGTCTCCGTAACTCTGGACTCCCCTGCTGTCCTCTACAACTGTTTTCCCTTGATTTCTCTCCTTTCTAATCCTTTAATCGTTTAGATCGTGGTGCAAAAAGGAGATGAAGCTGGCGGCTACGTCAAGGTCTACACTGGCCGCAAGGTGGGGCTGTTCCCCACCGACTTCCTGGAGGAGATTTAGGTGTGCAGGCGCCTGATGGCGGGAGATACCCATGTTGGATTCTGGGCAGGCCCAGCAGAGGTTGGAGAGGAAAGGGGTGAAAGCAACTATACCTCTGAGTAAGGGAGGAATCGGAAAGCCCGCCAGAGCATGACGGGGCTCCTGGAAAGGGACTGGTTCCCGCCCTCCTCCCTCGGCCTATGCCCTCGGATACTGGTGCCTAGAACAGCCTTTGAGAGCTGGAAAAAAAAATGCGTTTCCACTAGGAGGCGCTCTGGGGTGCGGGGGCGGGTGGGAGGCGAACTGTTGAATGTTGTGAATTTATTAAAGTTTTGACAAAAGTTAGAAGTTTGTTCTTTAACTTGGGGCCAAGGAGAGAGGGAGAAGAGGGCCCACGAAGTGGTGGAAAATCCTCCCTAACAATCACATTTCACTACCATCGGGTAACCTGAAACCCACCTGGGCTGAGCTGGTGGGACTTGGGGAGACTGGCTAGTCCGCCTGGCGAGGCCTCTGTAGTCAATAAGAAAAGGGAGCCCCCTGGAGTCACCGTCCCCGTGCCGCTGCGGCTGGGAACAGGATCCGGTTGCAGGGTAGGTCCCCATAGCTCTTGGCGATTTAGAGGCGATCAGCCCCTTAACATTTAGGAACCTGGCTCAGTGCCGAGCTGGGCCGCCAGGGGGCGATGCAAGATCTCGGTTGGAGAGCGAGGGACTGGGCCGAGGTGGGGGAGAGGAGCGAACGGGAGACTGGGAGCCAGAGACCCTAGGCCTGGGAGGGGGTGGGGTGCGTGCCGTCTCCATGACAACACTCCCTCAATTCCTCGGGGAACCCGGCTAGCAGGGCCCGGGGGCTTAACCCCTCCGGCGCAGCCCCCTCCCCAGCCCTGACAGGTACCAAGTGAGAGGGCGCGAGGCAGACAGCTAACCAGCTCTCGCGGAGAACCCCCCTGCGGCGCACCGTATGCAAATGTTTTTATTTGCATATGTAGACATGCAAATATACCGGCCCTGGTCAAGGTGGCAGGTGGCAGGGAGCTAGAAGGTGTAGGGAAAAGAGCTGAAGGAGACGAGGAGTTTGGGGACCTGGGAGAGGACCAGTGAGAGGCAGCCTGGGGTGGTCGCTGGAGTGGAGTAGGCAGAGGGTCTTGAGCTTGATGGCGGATGGGGGGAGGGTCAGCCTGGCCAGTCAGGAGATCCTCTTCTCCTGCCCGTTGTCTGCCAGGCCTGAGGTTGGCACCGCCTAGCAAGGTTGGCAGCGGGAGCCTAGGCACCATCTGCTGCTGGCGGGGAAGGGTGGGGGGAGGACAGAGGCTCAGCTGGGCTGGGGAAGAGGAGGGCCCGGGACGGGCGCGTCCCCCTTCCTTCCACAAGGCCGAGGTGCGGTGGGGGTAGGGAAGCACACCAGAGGAATCGCTGCGGAACCGGGTTCTGTTTCCTGTTCCTTTGCTCTTGACTGTACTGGCTTCCATGGGGGACAGCGGGGTCATAAAGGAAGACTCAGGCAGCACCCCTTTAATCATGGTTGGGCTGGAATAGGAGCAGACCACAGGCCTGCCCCCCTCGACCACCACATACAAATCAAGCCTTTTGCCCCCGTCCCTCCTCGGGCAGGATCTGCCTAACATGAATGGGGGTGGGGGTTAGCTAGGCTTGGGTCGCATCTCTTCATCAAGCGGTCGGACTGACTCAAAACCAGAGCCCCCCGAGATCCTCGAGTGGGGCACCCCACAATGCTGAAGCAAAACCAATTTACTGGCTCATTGGGCGGCGATGCTGGTGTGGGGGTACTGAGAAGCAGAGAGCGGCTGTTCTCTCCCCCCCCCAAACACTCGGGGGGCACCTCCCTTTCCCGCCTGGCGGAGCCAGCAGCTGTCCCTAATTAGAACGGCGGTTTAATTGGATTTATCAGCAGTTAATAGGAAATTAAGCAAAGGGCCCGAGAGAGGGAGGGCAGGAGGAGCTGGAAGGCCGGCTGTGCTGAGCTCAAAGGACGGGTGCTGGGGTGCCAGGGCTGGGGACACAAGGCCCACTATCGCGATTGAGCCCCATGGTCATGCCCTGACCCCAGTACTTGCCCACTGGCTGAGCCTTTGCCTGCTGGCGAGGAGCTGTTCTCAGGAGAGGGAGTCGGGAACAACACTGGCCCTGTGAGGGCCCCAAACGCCCCCTACTCCGCAAGCAGCCGTCTGGGTGATGGATAATGCTGCCTCACGCTGCAAAGGTCATAAGTCTGGGCCAAGGAGCGGACTGAATCGAAAACAGACTGGAGGAGAGGCCGGGTTACTAGGGTCCAAGACATAATCAGAACCCTACCCCTCCCCAGTGCCCACCCAACTCTTAGCAAAGAAAGTGCCCCTTGATGTCAGAAGATTGGGCAGCACAGGGAATGAGGGGGATATGTAGTGAAGCTCTCTTCTACCCCCTGCCACCTGGCTGTGTTGGGGATCCTGGGAGTCTCCCTATACAGCCACCAATGTCCCTCTATAGCTCCTGCTTCTCTCCCCGGCTGCTGGGGTTGGGGTTGGCTGAGGCCAGAGTGGCCCAACATCTGTGCCAGCTGCCCTGGGGGCCAAGGAAGAAAGCTTGCAGGCAGTTAAACAGGGTGCAGGGTCAACAGCCCCAGGCACCGCCTGTCACCAGGACCTCATTAAATGGCTAGGCTAAGGAGGCATTCTAGCAGGGACCCCAGCGACCTCTCTACCACACTCCACCACCACAGGGCACAGGCAGAGGCTCCTGTATATGTGTGGGTGCCAACCTCTCAATGTGTGGGGGTGGGTGGGTCTCTGTCCCCCTGGCAATTATGGATGTTTATGTCCCTGGTGTGTAGCATGTGTGTGTCTGTCTGTGCCCCAAGTGTTGTGAGGTGTATGTGTGTTGGTGTGTGTGCCCATGTATCCTGAGTATCTGTCTTGTCACCATTCTGTCACCCCTCTCAACCTCTATTATTTTTGTCTGTCTGAGCCCCTGGGTGTCTAGGTGTGCATATGTGCTTTGGCGTGTCTGTGCATTCTTCACGCCTGAGTGTGCCCCGCGTGTAGGCATTTCTGTGGGTCTCTCTCTGAGGGACTGTGTATGTGTGAGAATCAGAAAGAGCCTCTAGCGAGTGTGTGTTGCTCTGGCATCTAACTTGCAGGTGTGTGTCTCTGTGACAGTGTGTGGGCGTGTGCCTGGGTGTGAACCGCACGGCGGCGTGTATTCAAAAGACAGTGTGACGCAGGCGCGGGCCTGTGTGTATGTGTCTGCGAGCGCGCCTGGCTGCGTTTCGCGCCCCCGCCCCTTCCTCTCCGATTTCTATTCCTCTCTCCTCTGCAAGCGGGCTTGGCTCCGCCGGCCGCATCATCTCCATCCATTATTGAAGAAACAGCCGCGTCCGCTCCAATCACATCAACACCCCCCTCCTGTCCCCCTCCTTTCCGCTCGCCCCGCAGCCCCTCTGGGTGCT